CACCATGCCTGGGAATTCGCTCTTGTGTAACTTCAACCATGCACTGCTGCCATCGCTCAGCTTCTCGATGTTCAATAAATGGCTTACGCATTCCACCGCAAATGGCCAAAAACATGGTGGTAGTCCGGCTTCTAGTAGGCATGTCGATGTGGTAAGCATCATGAACTGATTGTTTCTTTCGGCGAGTGAATTGTTCTGGGGATGTCCTGGAAGCGACTGGTCTAGTGGGATCCGGAGTTCCTTGAGTGCTGATTCGAATTGTGGCGCATCATCCGAGTAAGCGTTGGTGACCTTTCTCTTACCGATATAGTGCTTCATTGCCTGCACCACTTCGTCACTATTGCTTGCTTTCAATGGATAGCCCCATATCACGCCGGTGAACCGATCTCGAATCACCAATATGTCCTTATCCGGCATGATCCCATCTCTCGCCATCTTCTGAGTGTTCATGAGATCGAAAGTGATAAGGTCACCGAATGCCTTCAATTTCCGTTTGAAAGCTCCCTTGCTAGTCTTATAGTGCTTCATCTTTGCTCTCACACATGACTTGCAGTATGGGTTCTTGTATCGGTGCGTCATCAAGTGCAATATGGATTTCGCCTCGTTCTTCAGCACTCCTGGTTTTGATAGTCTGGCTTCCCCGTCAACCACATCGACTTCCAATAGTCCCTCTTCATCTTCACCAATGTCACTCTCCTCTCGTTCAGAATCCGCATCACCTCCATGTTCGTCGTCTCCGGCTTCTTCAGGTTGACCATCGTGATCACGATCGAATCTCGGGTCTTCCCCTTCATATTCCTCTTCAGGAGAATACCTGTCATCACCGTGTTCCTCTGGTTCTCCTTCGACGCCTGCAACAGCTGGATTGATATCAGATTCACCATTCCGATCTCTCTGGTTATCTTTCTTCTTTCTCCTCCGTCTCCGTGGTTTCTTGGGCGGAAGTTCCTCTTGTTGTGTCTCCTGACCTGCTGTGGCCTCGTCTTCATGCCCCACACCTGACAGTATGCGATGAAGTATCGTAGCCAAGCCGTCTGGTCTTGGTAAGCATCTCCCGTCATCATCGTTCACCTTGATGTAGGGTATGTTGTCATGCACCGATAGCGGAATCTTGTTCGCGTTCTGGTCGATGAGGTATGGCAATTGATTTGCCGGCCATATGAATGAGTACCCTTGTTCCATGCACCGTTTCCCGATGGAAAAGACTGATGGTGTGCTCTCCAACACGTGTGCCTCGGACTTCATGGGTAGTTCGTCCACATTGATGTCCACCATCTCTGATGTACTAGTTACACCATTCGCTGTCATGAAGCTCACGGATTTGGGTCCTTCCTTGGTGGTGAGGCCCATGGCATTGACTTTCTCTCTTGAGATCAAATCGTGTCCACATCCCGTGTCCATGATGAAGCGTATTGGTGGTCCATCATACCTCTCCACAGCCATGAACATCGTGTCTCCTGGTATCGTGTAGTTGACAGAATCCTTCCTTACTACCTCGCTGGTGTTGAAATCAGACAGGTCGACGTTCACCTCGATTCCTTCATCTTGAGTGATTTGTATCCATGCCTTGGCAATGTGTTCAGCAGAGAATAGCTCCATCATCTTACCTTTGGCATGTGCTACTCGTGCAGCTATATTGCTCACTCTGAGGGCTCTCAACGACGAAATGAACTCGGTATCCATCTTCTGCACTTCATTCTTCTTCTTCCTGAGGGGACGGATGTTTAGCTCGTTACCAGGGTCGCAGGTGAACGTGGTCACGTTCGCCTGGTCATCAAATCTGACTTTAAAGCGAAGCGCCAGCTCACCTTGTTGTACGTTGGGAAGTGCGGGTTGTACGTCCTCGTCATCACTCTCGATGTCTCCGCAAAGCATGAAGGCTGGCGCAGCCGGTTTGGGCTTGGCTTTGCCTTTAGCCTCTTGTTTTGTAGCAGGAGCAGCGTGATGCTGACGTCGACATTTGTCCCCGAACTTGCACGATCCTTTCTGCCAATTCCAACAGACCTGATCCTTCATTGGCTTAGGGCTACTGCTCCTGCCACCAGGACTCTTTGATCTGTCACCCTTGAGGCTTTCTGGTTTCTTAGCAGAACTTTTGTGCTTCTCTTGGTGGCTAAACTTGCATTTGTCTCCTCTAGAACATCCGTTTTTCCCATGGAAGTGGAAAGCGCATCCTATCTTGGACGTATCTGCTGGAGTCGCTGACCTGCCACGATCCCCTTTTGGGCTCTTCGTGGTTGATCTTCCACGATCCTGCTTCTTGTCCTTCTTGTTGTGGTCCTTCGGATTAGCCTGAGGAAGTACTGGAGCGGCGTCATGTTTCGGTGGATCGGCCTTGGTATTCTTGGGTTTCGCTTTAGGGTCCTTCTTCTCCGCCGCTGGTGTGGCTTTCACGATGTTCCCAAAAGCTTTTTCCCTTTCTTTCTTGTTTGTGGTCTCGATTGATTTCCGTATCCACTTCGTCATGATCTCTCGTAACTTCTGGTAGGTCTTATCCGGATCCTTATCCAACATGTTGTCATACACGGACAAGTCTAACGCCATAGCTTTGGAATCCTTAATCTTATCCCAAAGCAGGTTGCGAAGTGCTTTGTCAGGAAGCATGTCATCCGCATCCATACCTGATATGATCTCATCCCACTGTCCAAGGAATCTGGATAGTTGATTATCCCCAGGGAACTTTAGATCGAATAAGTGCTTGGATGCATACATCACATCAACGTTGTCGGCACTCCGGAAACTATCGACGATCAACGCTAACATTTCTCGTCCCTTGACCATTCCAGGAGTTGTGCCTCTCGCACGTCTCTGCATCATCTGTCTCACCTTCAGTTGTACGTCATGAGATCTCTCACCTGCTGCGTGGATGATCGTGTGTAGGGTGATACCTAGTTTAGCGTCTATGCTAGCGAATCTTGCCTCGCCTGATGTCTCGAGTAGAAATGGGTCATATGGTGATCTGAAGGCATCCGAGAGCCATTGGATCCAGTCTTCTTGTTTCTCGTCGCCCGATGCCGTCACGACTGCCGCTACAACCTGGGATTTCCAAACCTCCAGGTCGTGTATCTTGGGCCATGCAGGGATGTTGATCTTCTCGTGTTCCTTCCGAGATATCTTGGAGCCACCTGAGCTGGAGGATGAAGCGGCACCATGTTCGGTTGCGGCTGCATTCTCTGCACTCATGCGCTCCTCTTCGTACCTCTTCCGGTACTTATTCCTCTCATCTCTGAGCCGTGATGCATGCGCTTCGAATTCCATCATGTCCTGTTGGTTCTGCATCATACCTTCGTAGTACTCGATTGCCTCTTTCTCCTCGGACCTTAATGACTTTTCAGTACGTTCAAGTTCCGCTCTAAGCTTGGTCATCATCTCACTCTCCACACTGGGTTCTGATCCCATGTCTGGTGGTTTCAACTTCAGTGCGACCTTCAATTGTGCTTCACTTGCGCTTGATTCGATCAATTCTTCCTGAAGACGTTTCAGCATCCTCTCTTTACGTAGAATGTCCTCTTCCAACATGTTCACCTTGACTTCGGCCTTCTTGAGTTCGGCGCTGGATGGTTGAAAAGATCGATCGGATCTTTGAATCCTCGTCTGAGTCAACTCCTCGTTCGCCTTCTTCAATTGCTCTCTGATACTCAAGATGAACTTGTCCTGAGTATTAGATCGGTTGTTGAGCTCCTCATTCTCTTCTGATAACCATTTGATCTTGCTTGCATATATTGCTTCCCTCATCTTCATCTCTTCAGCATATTCGTGTTTGTTTCTGGCACTCTGCCTTTGTAGTCCAACTAACTCCTGTCTACACAGGTCCTTGACGTTCTCAGCGTCTGCGAGTGTAGTCATGACCTCGGTTACGGCTCGATCTCTTTCTGCCGATATAGCCTGGATCTCTTCCGTGCCGATGTTCACAACTTGACTAACCATCTCTGCGCTGTTGCGATCAGCGTACTCCCCTAACTGGGTGAGACGATCCCGCATTGCCACACGATCAGTGTCCATCTGGTATTGCAGGTCGTGTGCTGCTGAGAGCAAACAGTCTCTGGATTCTGTAAGTTGGGTGATTCTTCGTTGATTTCCATATCCTTCGACATAACATTCTTCGAGGTGTGCCATCACTACTTCGTGGACTTCGGTTTCGTGTTGTATAATCTGGTTCTGTCTCTGCTCACATTCGACCATCCATGCGTTTTGGTGGTTCAACATATGCACTTCGGCAAGTAGTTGCGCACACTTCGCATTCAGGTCTCCATCGGCCCGTGCTAGTTGTAGGTTGTCAGTGCTTGCCCTTGCTCGATCTCCAGCTTCGCTGTCCGACGGCACAGGTACAGCTGACCCATCCTGCAATGCTAACGTTCTCACAGCTCCGGTGTCAGTCCTCCTCCTCGTCTCCCTAGGGCTACGGCCTGATCTCGGTGTCCCCCATGGTGGCGTCGAGTGCGCTGACGGGGAACGACTTCGTGCTCTACCTGTCGCAACTTCTCTCACCACTGTCAGAGTCTCCGCTTCGATCGTACCTGGGCTAGAGTTGTGGGATGCACTCATCCGATCTGCGGCCGCAGCAGCTGCTCCAAAAGATGCAGTGCTGGCGTCGGATTGGTCCATCTTCAGTGACTGAGGGTAACTGATCTATCCGATGCGTGTGCGTTTAGATGGTGTTGTGTAAGGCCGCAGCTCGTACCCAGCTCAAAGGAGTCTGGATACGGCTGATAACCTGCGAACGGATGGAAAGGTGTGCCCTGGCCCCGTTCTAGCCCTTAGTTCAACATGAAGCTCGCGCGCTAAAGCTCCTTTTTACCTGGTTGGGCACTTGAGCCAAAAGTATATGGCATGTACCTGTATAGCGACTATACTGGGACCTCATCCCTATTGACATCTTTCTTTCTAATACATCCTCTTACCCAATGGGGTGTCTTTGTTTTCACTCCCTTCCCAGCCCGGGTCCTTTTCCGGAGGTCGAAAGAAACGAAACCAAACGCTCCGAAGGCCGAGCTCCTCAGGCCACGGTCCGATCTTCGGCGCGGCGCTCTTCTCCATCGGCAACGCCCACTCGGTGGAGCCGCTGGCTTCGGGAAGGGAGCTACGGGGAGCCCCCCTCCGGTGGAGAGGAAAAACAGGGGCGGTGAGGATCCTGAGGAGCAAGGGAAGGTGAGGAGAGGTAAGAAGAATCCTGTGAGAATCCATTTTTTTGTTCATCATGTGAGATCCTGAGATCACTGAGATCCCTAGTATTGATGACTCTTAGTAATCTGAAAGGTTCAATTTTTGGCCAAGATTTGGTGCAAGAGGATTTGTGTGTTCCTTTGATCACTTTGTTCTTTAAGAGCACCTGATTCGATGCACAACATCTCAAAAGGGCACCAAGACATTAAAACACCTTTGGTATTGTATGGAAGGAACCTCTCCTCCAAGTCCACTTTCAAGGTGCCTGTTGTATAAGTATAATTACAGTAAGTATATAGTTCACGGGATTTCTTTCTGTAGGACCTTCTGCAGTAAAACAACTGTTTGAATGGGGAGCAGGGACTTTTTCTGTAGATGTTGCTTCGAACATTTCTATCCCAGACACTCCATATGGGACTGCCATATTTGCCGATCAGCTGGGCCAGTTGGGGTGGTTGATTTCAGGGGTCAATGGGGGCGGCATGTATTCCAGTCGCATCAGGAGTGTTTGGAACCCTGTGAATTGACCTGTGGTTTCGACCATTTTCCTCATACCAACCCATGTGGTTTTGGGGTTCCACCAGTGGTCCAACACCAACGAGGAACCCGTGGCCACCGTCCAGGAGGTCCGATGGAAGCAGGGAGTCTGTTTGGATGTGCTGAGGATCACGCACTTGCTGGTGCAGCATCGCGCCGACATCAATGCCCCAGCTCAGCCGCAAGGTGGTCTGGCCGATATGATCCTGTGAAGCTACAGAATGCATAGTCTATGATCAAAGGGAGATCCATATTGTGGTAACCCAGTTGTTCCAAAGCGGTGTTGAAGAACTAGCATGATTCTGGAGGCGTAAGTGGCCAGTCGTGCTGTTACGACCAGCGCGGTCGCCCAATGGCCTTGTACGGGCACGACTGGGAGTCCCCTTGGCACCTTCGCCCATGAATTCTCCGATGTGCAGCAGTAACCGGTGCTACCATTACGTAGCTGCGAGAAACCAGGTTTGCATATCAATTTCAAGCGTGCAGGTTCCAGAAACTCTGTTGGAAAAATTCGGTCAGCCAACATCCCCTTGCAGTTTCAAGGGGCTGAGGGGGTGATGGAAGGGGCGGAGACTGGAGTCCTTGGGGCCCTGGAGCATTCCCAACACCTCAGTGAGGCAGCTGATTTTGTCAGCTAAGACATATGGCTTTCGGCCGATCGAAGAGAAGCATTGGCCACAAACTCCGTGATGATGTTCCCATGACCCCAATGTATTGGACAGAGCCACATGAAGTTGCGAGGCTGAAGATCCTATGATGCCAATTGAATTGATATGAATTCATCAAACTAGGTCAGCAGATTCATGGCAACATGGGCAGCCATGCGCCAACCTGGGCGCGCCAGAAAGCTAAGAATGAACTGGCCAGCTCATATCTCCACCAGTCAAGAACCCTCACAAAGACCAACTACTGTTTGATGGGATTGGGATGGATTGGGATGCGCCATGTATGCCTTGCATTGACCACTGAACTTGACAGCACCCCGGACTGCTTGGTAAATACAGCCTAACCACCAATCTCGAGCTGCGAAGGACTCTTGGCGTTATGCTTCAAAGGCGTTCAGGCCTATGCACCTGGCCCTGAAAAAATCACCCGCGCCGCTGACGGTGATGTTTGCCCCGAAGGGCCTAGGACTGATGATCCCATGGACGTGGTAGAGGAAAACCATCAGACCCAGGGGGCCAGGACGTCAGTGTCTATGTTAGTTAGTCGGGGAGTGCTACAGGTCGTGAAGCCTACTAGTAGCCAGATGTAGCCAGGAATCTAGCTTGCAAAAAAATGCAACACCTTCTTTTTTTCGGGATTGGGGACGCCCCGCGTCACTAAAGAAGAACGGGTGGAAAGCTTGGTTAACCTTTCTTTTCCGGGGAGCAAGGCGCCCGTGAATTTGCAAATGTTTGGATGATTGAGCCCAAAATCGCACTACTGCGGCTTTTGTCTTTGTTCTCCGAAGAATGGACCTTGTGGGGAAACGTGGTGAGCAACATCAACAAAACATGAGCCAACCTCAGTGGTGACCACCAACAGCTGATATTTGTCAAGGAGCTGTCTTTGCATTCTCTCTCTCTCTCTCTTTCTCTCTCTCTCTCTCTCCCTCCCTAAGGAAAGGAACCAATACAACATGTATTGGAAGAACCATTCGTGCCAAACCAATGGGTTTCACACATCTTAATATATATATATAATTATATGCGTTGTGCTTGCAACTGTTGGTGTGCTGGGATATGCAGGAATCTGATGATTCTATCACGTAGCTGTTGGTGATCCATGTTATCCGATTAGAACTTTGGATGACCTACACAAATACCCCAAGTCCTCTGTGTGGGTGACTGGTGGTTTCAAGGGGTGCAGATAGAGTCTAGAGTGACACTGAGAATGTTGGCCCATGTGGCTTTGCCCAGGTGAGCTTGCTGCGCCTTTTGGCTGCAGCGGGGTCATCCAGGGTGGGAAGGGTAGTATGATGTACTGTAGTACGTCAAACATATGAAAACAAGTATGAACACATATTAACACAATTTAAAGCATTATAGCCTGATAAAGCTCTTGGGCGACCTAGTTTGCGGGCCACACACTAGAGTATGACAATATAGTATACAATATTGTTACAATCAAAAAAGCTTGCGTTTCATCATTAATAATTATTGGTGTCCAACATATTGTAAACATATTGCAACATGTTGGCTTACAATCAAATGGTATATGATAGTATATAAGATGGTTACAATCAAAAGGCAGGCGTTCATTAATCATCATTATTGGTATTCTTTGGTGGTCTAACCATGTCCAGGATTCGGACCACCTGCACTTCGCAGGTTTGTTTTTTTTCTGAGCTCCGGGATCTCCCCGGGAGGCGGTCGACCCCGTTTTCGTGCCCGAAGAGGTCCGGAGGGCGTCTCGAAGCGGGTGAAGTGCCTGGCCAACATCTCGGGCACCAGCGCGTTGGGCTGCGCCGCCATGCTGGGCAACGCCACTGGGCTGCGCCGCTACCCGCGGTCGTCGGCGGAAGACAGGTAGACGTGGTTCCAAGGGACTGGCTGTGAGGAGTATCGCCTTTTAAGGCAAAATGAGTGATCTAACTAACTTAAACACGTGTCAATCAATGTTTTGCCAATATTGTCAAAGTTTTGCAAATATATTTTGCCCCCCCAGTGTGGCCAACGCCCCTTCCCGCTTTGATCCACCTGGCTGACTGTTCACCTCGACCTCTGTCGGGCCGGCCAATGTGTTTGTGTTTGGGATATGATTACTGTCACACGGTGTAGTCAGATTTTTGACAGAAAGAGATGTGGGAGAGATGTCCAAGATCTCAGGACTATATATTGTGTGAAAGGGGGAGGGTCTTGTGTTCCGTCCGGCACTTGGATAGTGGATGATGGAGGGTCTTCTTACCACTCAATTAGGCCCTTGCCATGATTTGCCATCTTGCTTTTTGGCAGATAACTTGTTGAAAAAGGTGATTGAAAAAACTAACATAAAAACTGGATTGCAGCGAAGTGGAAACCACAGATTTGCATTTTAAAGATTTGTTTGCAAATTGCAATTGGAAAAACACAACCAGGTTGCAGCGAGATAGAAACCACAATTTTGCATATTTGAAGTTACTTGCTTGGAGATTGTTCTTGGAAAAATCACAAAGGTTTGTCACATGGTTTGTGGGAAATGACATATGGTTTGTGGGCACTGCCAAAAGTGCCGCAAACCATATGTCAAATCCTTCCAAACCATGGGAATGAGGTTGATGTTTCCAAGGGTTGAAACGGTTGAAAGGGGTTGCTTTTTCAATGGAGGTTCCAAAAACAAAGTGAACAAAGAGAGTGTCACAGAGACAAGTCTCTGAAAACCTGAGGCTGCAGTGCCTGGCTCTGGAATTGATGCACGGTCTCTTGTTGAAGCAGACATATCTGATATATCTGGTATATATATCTGGTATTTGGGGGCTTTTGGATGGGTCTAAGAGTGAATCTTGGGACATTAGAAGAACATGTTTCACTGCAAACGTCATATGGCCAGTCCAGGAGGGGGGGGGTGAGGGCAGCCTTATTCACAGACATGGCGCAGAGGGCCAGGAACCTAGAAAAGGAGAGCAGTGCCTTTGTACTTGTATACTTGGTTCCTGGAATTCATATAACTTATATATTATCTTATGCAAAATATGGATGTAAGAATCAGATTACATGCAGTTGAGGTGAAAAACAAATCCATCTTGTCAGCCCAGCTGAAATAAGTTCAATTTAGTTGGCGCCGATTGAGTACCACAAGAGCTCTAAGAGTGTCATTTGCACTGCAGGATGCATGCACACTCACACACATTACACGACGCAGGTGGGAGATGAGGCGCGGTCAAAACAAACTCTTTCACAGCCAGTGGTTGCCATTTGCAGTGCTGCCAAAGTACCGATGGTGATCACATGGATGTGAAAGAGTTCAGACATGGTCCCTGTTTTTAACATACATTACACTGCACCTACGCCATGCCTGCATCTGAAGGAGGCCGCATTAAAGGTGCTGCAGAAGTACCTTTTTCTGGCGCTGAAAAAGTGCCAAGCCACTTACAACACACTACGGACGAGGCCACGGCAGCCTCAGCCTCGAGGATCAGTTGGAGAGGCACCCAAAAACATGGCGCCCAAGGCAGCACCGCAGCCCCGCGCCCCAATGACGGCAGCTGCGCCTCCGCGAACGGCATCGCAGGCGGCGGCGTCTGGGCCCCCAACAGCACCAATGGCATCCAGCCCAGCCTCAGCACCAGTGGCAGCGTCGCCACAGGCCTCCGGCCAGCCAGCAGCACAGGCACCCGCGTCCAGCCCCACCCCACCAGATGCACCCACGGGAAGTCCGTTGCCTCCCGGAAGAGTAGCCCCCGGTGCAAGAGCAGGACAAGATCCACAAACAAGGGCAAAGCAGCAGCAGCAGCAGCAGCCGAAGCCAAAGCAGGAGCAGATCCCCGACAGTGGCAAACCGAAGCGCGGACGCCACGCGACACCAGCTCAGGAAAGGAGAGAAGGAATGCACTGGCTCAAGAAGACCTGTGAGGAGCAGACGGCGGAAATCCGTGGTCTTCGACAACAAGTGGCCGCGTATGCATCGCAGCTGGGGAACAAGGATGGGCAGATCTTCGGGCTGAATGCCAGGATCCATCAGTTGGAGGCGTGAGTCAACCGTTTAAATGCTTCATACCTTTCCTTTCATTGCAACCCAGAGTTTGAATGAAGGAATTCTTGTAAAGCGTTAATTTTTACATTTGCTGCTGATGATAGCTCTGCACAGGCTCAGCTGCGAGAAAGACGAGAAGGGAATCCCGCTGCAGCTGGACAGCCGCCGGTGACTCTGAAGGTGGAGCACATGGTGGAGGGCCTGACAGAGACCACCAAGAAGGTGTGACTTGTTTCGTGCATGACAGTGAAAGTTCAACCTTGTTAGAAACAAGTTGCGACGTGCTTGAACTTGAGCAGCGTCATTGTCAGGGATTCCGGCAGCTGGTGGAGGCTTACCAGTTGCAAGCGGAGGCCAGGTCTTCACCAATTACTAGCGAGGCATTTTTGATTGCTCCAGCACCATCTCATTCTAATTCTTCCATGTGTTTGTCTGACAACATTGCTGAAGCTTCGCTGGCATTTTCATTGTCCTGGCAGGGCTTCCTTGAGCTGAGAGATCTGCTGAAGGCTGTGCACAGTGTATGTCCTGTTTTGCTTGCACGTTTTATGTTCTTTCTGGTGCTGAACAAGTACCATAAAGAACATAGAAATGTCATGTTTTGCTTGCATGCTTTGATTTTCTTTCTGGTTCTGAGCAAGTACCATAAAGAACATAGAAAAGTCCTGTTTTGCTTGCGTGTTTTTCTTTCTGGTGCTGAACAAGTACCATAAAGAACATAGAAAATGCAAGCAAAACAGGACAAGTACCAGCGCATCTCCTTCATTGGAAGATATATCTATATATAACAACGAACCACTGTCCTGCGAGGCAAGGGAAACGAGGCGGCAAAAGCGTGCTGAAGAAGTGCAAGCTGCGAAGGAGGCCCATGAACTTCTTTAACTTTCAACTTATGGCATCCTTGCAATCATTTCCTTGCCGTCTCGTGTCTTGAGGCCCAAAAAGCCGCCAAAGCATCAGAGAAGAAGAGAAAGGCCATGGAGCCGGAACCTGCAGCAGCAAGGCAGAAGACGCCAAAGAAGGCAAAGGCCAAAGAAGAAGAAGGCAAAGAAAAAGCAAAGAAGAAGGCCAAAGAAGACGCCAAAGAAGAAGGCCAAAGAAGACGCCAAAGAAGAAGGCCAGTTTCCCGAGTCGGAAACAAAGAAGGCGAAGGCCAAAGAGAAGGGGGCGGCAGCAAAGGGAGCGGCAGCAAAGGCAAAGCAAGCAAAGGCAAAGGCGTCATCCTCATCATCTGGCTCCAGCACATCGCCGGCGAATAAGTGATCGAAAAATAGGGGCGCTGCTCTACTGTGACTTCTTTCAATTCCAAGTGAAGCAACTGCATCATGTTTCGTTGACGCTGTGGTTCTCTAAGGTTCCAACCTCTTTGACAACCAGATGTTCGCCATGGCCTCAACATTGCAAGGTGCTGAACAAGTACCTTTGGCAAGCCTAAAACTCAGAACAACAAAACAGTTTGGACAACAGAAGTGAATAAAGGGAGCCATTGTGAATTCTTTCACTTCAAATGATCAACATGGGCGCTCTTCGCAGCGCTGGAACATGTGGATCACTTGGCGGTGACAGAATTTGATTTTCAACCACACCTCATCCAGAAGTGTGGTGTAGGTGGGTACTTATTCAGCGCCATAAGTCATAGTGTGATGTTGGTTTGTGTAAGAAAAAGATGTTGATTACTTGGAAAATCTTGGAAATACAAAAGGTTTTACCCAGCCTCATCTCCCACCTGCAACGTGTGAGTGTGTTGCGCCCTTAGCCTGAAGACTCTCAAGGCATTCAAAACGATATTTTGAACTTCTTCAACTTGTTGTTTTTTGTTCCCAAAAGTTGAATTAGCAACTGCTTTGGCTGAGTTCCACGCTGCCTGGCTGTTTGGTTTCCACCCTGCATTTTCC